GAGAGGTTCGACAGAACTAAGAGCAAAAATGGAACATGCCATTCTTTATTATTCAAAGTGAATTAGACCCATAAATAGCACTATGGCATGTTTATGTTAAAGGATAACGATATAAAATCCGAAGACATGAAAGACATATGATCACTAAAATCTTACCACCATATTCAATAAAGGAATGTCAAAAGAACCAAATCATTTCCTATAAAAACAACAAATCTATGCAAATTGAATGGAATAGCATAAGAAATGGCATAAATAACACAATTAAAGCTATAAAAGAAACACATATATAGTACATTTTTTCTCCTTGCATGATTACAAACAAACCAATAATTTTTCTAATTAAATGTCGAAAAAAATTTATGAAAGCCAATCAATGAATGTATAGAAGCGATAACAAGCAATGACTTATAACGATGCTATAAAGAGGCCCAATAAAAACATGCAAACCTACAAAACAAACAGAGAAGAAGAATACAATGGTGGAATCACGCAATGGGGAGTGATGGCAAGACAATATGGAGGACTACCTAACGGCAGAGTGTGAGGTGCGGAAGGAAAAGCCTAAACAAAAAAGACAAAGAAAACCAAGAAGAGAAGAAAAGTCAAAGTATTTTCAGGAAGAAATAAGAAGGATTTTTTCAAAAAACAAAGAAAAATGAAAATATAAATAACGTAGAATGCACAATTCTAATATAAAAAATAGCTTAAATATGTTATGCCGGCCAAATGCTCATGTAGGCATAAGTGGAGCACAAAGATGCAACATGTCTTTTTTTTATTCTAATTAAAACGAGTTTATCAAAGTGCTACCTAAATTTAAGTTAAAGAGAAAACAATATGTAGGATAAAGTGCAAACAAGTGAACTGCATTAAAGAACCATAGAAATCAAATTTTCGGTATGGAAAGAGCACGACCTATCATTTTCTTGAAATTAGCAAGCAAGCAACAAAAAAGTCAAAACAATGAAAAGTCAATTGTTTAAAAAAAAAATCAATTGCTTATCCAATTAGCATACTGGATTGTCTAATTAACATGAAATATCAAGGTAAACTACTTCTAACAAACAAGGTGCATATAAAATCTACAGCAAGGTCAAGTCGTCATCTGTATTTTTTTAATTTTCTCCAATCTTAAACACCACAAGGAAAATTATACGTATTTAGATATCGAAGACATCCGAAAAATCACCATGTTTTTCTCATCGGCACAATTAAGCTCTTCTATTGATGTCTATCACCAACACTCATTGCCAAGCTTTGGCCAACACGAGTAAAAGTGAATCAAATTGGCTATCTACTAACACACGACTCAACTTATTCCGTGGTATGTTTTTAATGAGATAGCTTGGACATATGCATGCCTCTACGGACATTTGTAAGCATTCCGGAGTTCGGTTTATTATGCGAGTTATGAAAGAGCAAAAGTAATGGGGAGGTTCGACGAACCAAGAGCTAAAATGCAGCATGCCTTTCTTTATTATTCAAAGTGAACCAAGCCCATAAATAGCACCATGGCATGTACATGTTAACGATATATAATCCAAAGACATGAAAGGCATATGATCACTAAAATCTTACCACCATATTCAATAAAGGAATGTCAAAAGAACCAAATCACTTACTATAAAAACAACAAATGTATGCAAATTGAATGGAATAGCATGAGAAATGGCACAAAGAACACAATTAAAGCTATAAAAGAAACACATATATAGTATATTTTTTCTCATGGCATGATTACAAACAAACCAATAATTTTTCTAATTAAATATCGAAAAAAATTTATGAAAGCCAATAAATGAATGCATATAAGAGATAACAAGCAATGATTTATAATGATGCTACAAAGAGGCCCAATAAAAACATGCAAACCTACAAAATGAACAAAGAAAAAGAATGCAATCGTGGAATCACGCAATGGGGAGTGATGGCAAGACAATAGGGAAGACTACCTAACAGCAGAGTGTGAGATGCGAAAGGAAAAGCCTAAACAAAAAAGACAAAGAAAACCAAGTAACGAGAGAAAGAAAAGGCAAAGTATTTTCAGAAAGAAATAAGAAGGATTTTTTCAATAAACGAAGAAAAATGAAAATATCAATAGCGTAGAATGCACAATTCTAATATAAAAAATAGTTTAAATATGTTATGCCGGCCAAATGCTCATGCGAGCATAAGTGGAACACAAAGATGCAACATGTCTTTTTTTTAATTCTAATTAAAACGAGTTCATCAAAGAACTACCCAAATTTAAGTTAAAGAGAAAACAATGTGCAAGATAAAGTGCAAATAGCGAACTGCATTGAAGGACCATAGAAATCAAATTTTTAGTAAGGTAAGGGCACGACCTATCATTTTCTTGAAATTATCAAGCAAGCAACAAAAAAGCCAAAACAATGGAAAGTCAATTGTTTAAAAAAAAAATCAATTGCTTATCCAATTAGCATCTAGATTGTCTAATTGACATGAAATATCAAGGTAAACTACTTCTAACAAACAAGGTGCATATAAAATCTACAACAAGGTCAAGCTATTAGTTGTTATTTTTTTTAATTTTCTCTAATATTAAACACCATAAGGAAAATTAGACGTATTTAGATCCGAAAAAATCTGAAAAATCACTATGTTTTTCTATCAGCACAATTAAGCTCTTCTATTGATGTCTACCACCAACACTCACCTCCAAGCTTTAGCCAACACAAGTAAAAGTGAATCAAATTAGCTATCTACTAACACACGATTCAACTTATTCCGTGGTATGTTTTCAATGGGATGGCTAGACATATGCATGCCTCTAGGGAGATGTCTAAGCATTCCGGAGTTCATTTTGTTATGCGAGTTATGAAAGAGCAAAGGTAATATGGAGGTTTCGACGAACTAAGAGCAAAAATGCAGCATGCCATTCTTTATTATTCAAAGTGAACCAAGCCCATAAATAACACTATGCCATGTATATGTTAAAAGATAACGATATAAAATCCTAAGATATGAAATGCACATGATTACTAAAATCTTACCACCATATTCAATAAAGGAATGTCAAAAGAACCAAATCATTTCCTCTTAAAACAACAAATCTATGCAAATTGAATGGAATAGCATGAGAAATGGCACAAAGAACACAATTAAAGCTATAAAAGAAACACGAATATAGTACATTTTTTCTCATGGCATGGTTACAAACATACCAACAATTTTTCTTATTAAATATCAGAAAAAAATTTATGAAAGCCAATAAATGAATGCATAGAAGAGATATCAAGCAATGATTTATAATGATGCTACAAAGAGGCCTAATAAAAACGAAATTGGCACACCATTGTAGTTTATATAACCATCTTCAATTATGGCCTCGAGCCCATACAAAAAACTACACAACAAAATCCTATCCCAAAGATCAACACCTATAAGCTTCGAGTCTACTTGCAACATAAAAATATATGGTTGACATACTCGGTTGCTTCATTCCACATAAATCGTCTATTTACTCTTCTAGTCCGCTTGTTCATCGCACACAAAGAATCATTGGCCAGCATGCTATTAAATACAAAAAGAAATGCAATGAAGAAATTTAAAAATAAAAGAATAATAATTTGAATGCATACCTCTAGTAACAATAGTTAAACAAATGCACATTCCCTTGTATGTGGAGGTGTCGTATATCTACTTGGTGGAGAAGAGACAAAATATTTGATCCATAAGCTACAATTAGCAATGAATTCCACCAATGGAATTGTTACCTGCAGGATGGTTTTTTTTTTTTCATGTTGTCTTCCAAACATAAAAAGGGAAATATTTGACATGCTTGAATGGGACGAGAGAATGCTTTTAGTATATAAATCTTCTACAAGTGGGAAAATGAATAATAGATAAGTACCCATTTTTACTGTTTTCTTAAGCGAGAAGATATAGGGTAGTTATCCTTTTTAAGAATTTGGAAAGAATGGCATTAGGAAGGACGAGCAACTCGTCGACATGGTATACAAGGGATAAGGGTGCAAGAAGTATGAAAATACCATTTGTTGAATTAAACTACAGACTTTGTCTACGATTTCACCTACGGGACATTAGTCGGGGAGGGTATTTTTGCACTAGGTTTGTCTCATGAATAAAAGAATGAGAGAAACTAGGGAGTATGGTTAATGATTTTGAAAAATCACAAACAAATCAGAATATGCTATGCATTATTGCCTCTCTAGATGGTTGAACTAGCCCTTAAAGAACAATATCCTTGTTTTAGACAATTTAGAGTGGGCGAGAATGAAAAGCTTTCAAGAGCACCGAGCATTTTTATTATCAAACGAGAAGACGGGAACTTTGAAGACTTCACCAAGCATTTTTATTATCAAACTGAAGATAGGAATTTGGAAGACTTCATTTTTCAGCATTATTTAAACCCTTTGATTCTTTTGGTTGATTTACCAAAAATTTTATGTTTCGATTTTCTTTACCTTTCCAACTTTGTAAGCACCTCCTTATAGACCGGACTATTAGAACAGAACCCATGTTTTTCTTCCCCTTCATATCCCACTCTTGCATGGTATTATGATTTTAATTTTTATTATTATTACATTCTCTTGATTATAGATTTAATTTGGAATTATTTTTAACATTACAAGATCCAAGGTACGGATCGAAATATATTGGACACATTTAGATAGTTTAACGAGTTATTGGCTTATTTATTCAATTAACTGTAATCGAAACCACCTAAATAACCCTAAAACAAAGTGAATCACAATTTTCTTTTTTTCTTTTAAAATTATTACTATTTTTTTTAATTACTAATGACTAATTATGCAAACTTAATAAAATATGTCGGATATATAAACGAGATAATTGTCTAATGCATTAATTTGCTTGCTTGCTCACATTACCTCCGGAGTTTCGGACCAATGTGCAATGGCTTTGGATAGAAGCGAGTATGTGTTATAGATAAAGAAATTCGAAAAAGGAAGGCATATGTTCTAGGACTAAAAACACAATAAAGTTAGAAAGAAATGAAAAGGCAACGAAGCAAAGGAAAAGAAGGAAACAAACCAAAATTTATAAAGCATATGCAAAGATCAGTTACTAGAAGAAATCATATGATTATCAACCTAATTTTACCCATTGCTAGTCATCTAAGGTCCCTCATCAACCCAATGAATGCATATTTTATCGATTCCAAGCAAAACATTGCATCGAGTACAGATTCCAACTCGGCTAAACCTGTATAGAGCATAATGATATTCCAATGTTAAAATTATAGACACTAAGGTTGTCTTAATAAAAGCCTAATACAAGCAAAAGATGTAACATTGTCTCATTAATATCAAACGAAAAAGATAGATACTCTTTTAAAGCACGAAATATGTATGATAAGAAAATTCGATGAGTAGCGGTATTTATCAATTAATATTCTGCTATTTTAAGATGCACCTCGTTAAATATTTATTGTTACCATGTTCTCTTGTTAATATCTGTTCAAAGATAAGCGAGATCGCATAACGTGTTAATTTCTACCCTACGCCAAAGACCTAGCCTCCATTTGATAATTCATATCCAATAGGCAATGTTTCACATGACAAATAACCACTTTGTTAGACCCCTTGAGTTGGCATCTAATACACTGAATAACTCATGTGAAAAATGACTTGGGTTGACCTAGCATCCGTGCTCGGGGTTTCTACGAGTTTTATGCCGAGAAGAGCTAGAGATTCTAATGAAAGCACTTAAGACATTACGAGTCAAAATAAGCGTTATAGAATGAGATGAAACAAGGAACTACATCATACGAGTTCACGTGAAAATGGGTATATACTAGATGAATGTGAGCCAATATAATGTAATGAAAATTCAAATTAATTACCTAGAGAATTGGTTCATTAAAGATCTAAATTTCAAAAGACTATCCTCCTAGAAAATCGAGCAAGCCCATGGCATAGTAGAACATCGTTCTATTGAGAAAATGCTCGTGATCTTCGAAAATGGAAAGTCCTCCACCTACAAACGAAGACAAATGGAGTATTGAATATAGTTATAACTTTAGAAACTAAGTAATTTAAATTCTATATTTAAATACAAGTGAAAAAGATATTCTACATTCATGTTACGCAATAAAGTAAATTTAATGATTTAATAGTGTCCAACCTCCCTTCCATGTATATGAACCTAAAAAAATGCTGATCTTAATTAAACAAGTACGAACCAAGAGCTATAACACATCTTTAAATAGAATAATATAGAATTATGACTAACCTTGTTGCCACTTCGAAGAAGATACTTAAGGTATCATTGATTGCCTCATTGCTTCTGCAATTAGAACTATTGTTGGCATTAAAAGAATTTCAAGAGAAAGAAATTTGAATAAGGTATGCATTACCACATCCAAGTATGCCTAAAGAATTGAGGAAATTTTTTTAACAACATATTCCAGTAGTTTTATGTGATCATCAATCCCAAAATGCTCACATGATTAGGTATAAAATTGCTGAAAAATAAAAAAATAAAATAAAAAGAATCGGCAATTATGAAACTATTTTAAAGGGATAAAGCGAGTGGGTGTTTTCGGCATTTATATTTCAAATTAATTTACATCAAAAGGATGCAATTCCCGAACATGGACATAAGAATTCATAAGATGATGGAAGCATGTCGGAATAGCATGATTAAGCTTTTGCTTACGAGTTGAGAATATCTCTAAGAATTTCAAAAAATGAAAAAAATATGAAATATAAGAAAAGGAGGTAAAGAAAAGTATATAATATATAAATGTATCTTGGACTACAAATCGGATAGCGATTTCTCTACATTTAATCCTATTGCATGTGAGAACTTGTTCCTTTGCATTCAAGAAACTTTTGCCTCTTTACTCGAATACTAGTTTGGTGGTTCTCCTTAGTTATTACCCGAATACTTGGATTGGTGATGCTCCTTAGTTATATATTGCAACAAATGTAGTGATTGCACTCCGACCCCGATTAACCCCCCACACACACATGAAGAAGAAAAAATAAAACAAAATTGGCACACCATTGTGGTTGGAAGTTGCAAATATTAGCAGAACCCATTATATAAGCATCTCCAATTATGGCCTCAGGCCTATACAAAAAACTATCCCAAAGATCAACATCTATAAGCTTCGAGTCTACTTCCAACATAAGAATATATGGTTGATATACTCAGTTGCTTCATTCCACATAAAACATCTATTTACTCTTCTAGTATGTAAATCTATCGATTGTTAAAATCCTACTTTGCTAAACTATGATTGGTTATCATGTTAGCATATAGCTCTATTCTCGACCCCATCTTCTTCCTGCATTGCAAATGCAAAAAAAAGAAACAAAAAAAAAAAAAGAAAGAAGACATCGGAGAAAATTAAGGTCGGGCCATCTATGTTACTCATCCGAATAAAAACCCACCAAAGCTTCTTATTTGCAGTACAAATTCTAATCTAATACCTTCCCCCATCAACTCCCGAATGTTTTTACAAGTATTTAACAACACCCTCACCCCTAATTCAATGAATAACTTTAAAATCATCTTTTGTATCTCCCCATTTTGAACCTCTTCTAGAATTTTCATATAGAGAAAACAATGAGAGAAAGGGCTATAATCAAATAGATCGAAAGATGTACTTCTAAGAACAATGAGCCTCCCCATTGTCTCGACTTGATCACATGCGGTCATCACCATCTCCAATTTCCATGCAATCAAGACCATTTGGGGTACTTGTTCGGAGAAATTGGTTGAACTAACATAGGCTCATCCACACTGTAGACCTTCACCTACACCATTGAATGAAGGCCGAGGATCAACGATTGGATTGGGCGATAGTGGGTAACTTCATTGCCATTTTCTTGCTGAAATCGGCTTGCGACTGCTTGGTGTTATCACCATCCACCACTACTTGACCATCATTGGATAGAGGATCATCGGATGGTTGATTCTCCTGCACTCCCGAATTCTAGGACGGCCTCTCAATGGGACCATTGGTTGTAGGTACACTGCACGCAGTTGCGACGAGCAGCTTGTTCCTCTATTGCTTGTGCAATTGTAGCGAGCTTGGGCACACAGCTGCGGTCGACCATCATCGATCCACCTGCCATCACCGAGCCCTCTTCGTCCTCGTGTATGCAACGAGTCCATACCTACAAAATAATCGGACAAAGGTGGGAGTCTTTGCGGTACCGAACGATCACCAAATATACTACTAGGTACATGTTCATATGGAAGAACAGGAGCATCAAACATGTTAAAGGGAGCTACATCAAAGCTCCCGGATGACAAAGCTTCTAAATCCCTGGATGAATGCCCACCGATGACCACATAGAAACCGGATCCCACGGCCGGGATGGCCTTGACGAGAAGAGGATGTTGAAATCCATTTACTTACGTCACGAGTCGCTCAAAGGAAGACACTGCCACTCGATCGTTGGCGGTCAAAACCCAAAGGCTGCAAAGACCGAAAAGATCATCCACATTCACCCCTTCAAATGGCTTAGCGGCAACATCAATTAGATCACTTGAAGCTACGAGCTAGCCTAGTACACTCGCAAATAATCTAACCCATCAAGGGCCTCCCTCCACCTTACCTCTATAACACGATTCTCATGAAAATCATCATCTTCTTCGTCGATCATCTCATCATTATAGTCATCTCCCGAGCCGGTATCATCATGGCCTTCCAGTATCGGTGGCGACAAGAGACATCATACCGAGCACCATCTTTAGCAATATCCTCATCCTCCCCTCATCATCATCCTCATCCTCCTCACCATCGTCTCCCATGTCATCGTCCTCATCACCCATATCATCATCGACCCTGTTCTCAACATGAAAAGTCATCTCAATTTCGTCGGTGTTGTGTAACCCACCACCTTCTTCCATTTCTTCACGCATGAAATCCATTCCTATCTCCATTTATGGGTTGGTTGCCATTGTATCTTCCGATTCGATCCTCATGTTTTGCTCTGCCGGTCGATTTTGATGTGCGGCACGGCTACGCTCAACATGAGGAGTTCCTTGTTGTTCTTGAATGTCGGTCTCCTCCTCATACGGGACTTCGTGCGTGCCACCAATACTCCGAGTATGCTCTATGGTCTCCGCGACGAAATGCGGCTTTGTTCATCATGTCTCTCACTTGACACGGTAGTTTTCTTCTTATTCGGACCCTCGGATTTAATAACTTGCTCACTAGCATTGGCCGCCCTTGACGAGGCTTTCCAAAGGACCAAAGCCTTCAATAGAAGATTAACAATTTTAGGAGCATCGGGATGGTCCAAATCAATCACTTGAAGAATGCCGGTAAGAGGCGCACCATTCCTCCATCTACCATGCTTTTTGTCGTATCCGGTGAGCATCCGGAACCGGGTAAGTGGTCGGAGGATGCATTTTTAGACAAAATTGAATATACCGGATCGGAAAAAGCAAAAACCTTTTTATCGGCCAACAAAATGTTTTTATGTGAATTGCTCTCCGAGTTTGAAAATGCGGACGATTCTTCGGCACACGAAGCTTTTGATCCGTCCTTTTCCTTCTCTTTTCCTTTGATAACACCACAAAAGTCCCCCTCCCGATGACTCCAATCGACAAGCTGCAGCGGCAGCTTTCATAAAAACCACGGGATCTCCGGAGATAACGGGTGCCATAGACGTCAAAAATGTCCTTGGGGAAATATGCCCGGCATGGCGATTTCGGCTCAAAGTTTGCCGTATCTCCAATTCCTAGCGGTTTGCGAGCTTGAGGATCTTCAAGGAGGTGCCGAATTATGGCGAGTAGCAACGGTGTCATATCCGGGGAAGAAGCAACTTCTTCGAAGACTAAAGAGAGCGGCTAACCCTCCGTTTTCAAGAAATTGCAAGGCTAAAACGTGAGTTTTTGTCAAGCGAGCACATAAGCTGCATAATAGCTCGCATGATCACGAGCGGGGATGTCTTCGTTTCATCAAGTCACAAGCAACAAGTAGTACTTTATGACTCTCTTCAATAGTCGGGTAACCGGTTGACTTCCCTAATATTTTCTCAAGTGCTTGCACTGATTCTTTCTCGGGGAAGTACGAAGCCACTTTTTCATCCATACCCGATGCGGAACCGATGCATCGGGTGGAGATGAAGTCTCCCACGGATTCGGAAGAGATTCGGGCACGGATTGCAACATATTATCCAAGATGAGCGAGCAAAGCACTTATGCATATTGGTACAAGAATTTCGCTCCACGATGCATTTCTAGCCTCGAAATTCATCAAAACATCTGCTGCAGCGGCAACAATACCATTACGTGCAGCAATTTCTTGAACGAGTTCCATCCTCGAAAAGGAGCGATGCTAAAATATGTGATATCATACACAATGCACTTGGAATCCTTGGAAAAATCCAACGAGCAAAGCTTTAGGCTGCTCAATAAGATAAGATGCCACCTTTAGATGGTCCTCTCCTTTGTTCCGATTGCAAAGGGTCAAAAGCAAATCAGTCAATGAGAATGCCATCGTATCACTAATTTGAAACAACTACACGGATGCGACAAGAATATCTTCGATGGGAGGCACCTTCATTTGTCCTCCTTACGTCGGGGCATCTATTGGCTTATCCATATTGTCAACTTTTGATCCTTCGATGAACTTCTTAGTGACGGCGCAAGTGCTCGAGCCAACTCATCATCCTCCCGCACGGGATCCTCGGCATGATCGAACGAGCCACTCCATTTCCATTTCAGCACTATTTGTTTCCACCCACCTCAATGCCTCTTCGACTCTTGCCCTTGTAAAGCCCATCTCAACAATTGTTGCAATTGTATTTTCATCGAGCGGTGGGGGCATGAACCTTTGGTTCGTAATTCCCGTAACATCACTTGCGATTCCTTTTGACATCTCCAACATCGGAGTATATGCGTGTAACAAGTGATATAATAGAAGCAATGAAACTAGAGCTGCAACTTGGAATCATCGGGTGGTTCCGGATAGGTAATATGACATCCGGGACACGAGGCTGCGGCATGCGAACAAAGACTTCGGGGTCCTTAGGAACGGGAAATAGCCCAATTGACAAACCAACCGCAACGAGTCGAACAAGTAGGCGAGCTTGGGATGCGAGAGGTTGAAGATAAAAGTAGAGAGGAGTTTACGTAGTACTCGAGCACGCGGCGATAGGCTGTGTAAAGTGTCAAGTAGCCATGTACTATGAGACAAATTATTTCCTTCACCTGCCTTCTCATGGTCAGTCGAGGGTGTGGGAAAAAAGTAAGGGAGTGTCCATAAAAGTTGACTTGTAGCTTCAAATGTTGCGAGAAGCTCCCTAAAGGTTCAATGTACATAAAGATTATTGACCACTGCTTCGCATAACAAGTGCGCCTCCTCCCGTCAAATATGAGTGCTTGCCATGTCATCAACTACCTTTCCAAGATATGGGCACTTAGCGACGGTGATGTATCAAGTCCGGTTGCAGAATACCCGGAGAAACTTAGAGCCTCGAAATATTTTAGCCAAGGTGGTTCCCGGGTCTTTGAAGGCTGCACTCGACGATCCTACATCGGCCCTTCGACGGTTTGGTGACGTAAATCCCTTCACAAGGGTAGAGAAGAAAAAACCTCATCGGGAGTTCTCCTTTTCAACTTTGGCAAAGAGGTCTCGGGTTCATCGATGGGATCTCGGAGTCGGCACTTAAAGCATCCGAGTGCCGGCCGGTCCTCCCACCGCGTATGCGTGCCAAGCCATGTCGACTACGACGGTGCAAACCTTCACTCGAATGAATGAGCTGGAGAGAAATTCACGTTCACCACTCCAAAGGGACCGAGAACCATTCCTAACGAAGCCGGGTTCATGAATCTCACAAGCTGGAACATTTGCATTATCATCACCCTCTCTTCCAACGGCATTTGATGAAGACGCATCCGCACTCTCGGTCTGCAGTTCCGCATTTCTCTTTTCATCCACTTTGGAGTCATTATACGGAGAAACTTGCCAAATTATTTCCCGGTATGCCTTCCCAAGATCCTTCAACACATCGGCATCCGCGAGTGCCCAATTCCGAGACAACGGTACTATTCCCCTCCACATTTCTTTCATTTCCATGTTTCGAATGCGAAAAACACGAAATAGAAGATGCCCAATTCTCTAATTTGAACTTCTTGGGTGTTTTAGTTGCTAAACTATTCAAATTCTCACTATTTCCTTTACAAATCGGGTAATAAGCGAACCGAGCATGAAATATTCAAAGACATTTAATTGTACTTGATAATATAAAGAGCCTCTTCCTCTAATCGAATCTTCTTTGATTTTCCCTTTAAGGAGAGGAAAAAGATTGTTTTAAACACGACAATCTTTTTTGCTCGATAACATAAACCGAGCCCACTCCGGCAACCGTTCGATTAGGAACACGTATTTCACTAAAGATTGACGATCAATAGCGAAGATTGATTGGAAAAGCACGGCTGTTCGGAGAGAGGACGTAGAAAACCCTAGAAGTTAAAGCGTGGTCGTTTGCTTTGTGGATTATGTCGAGCCATCCACCGCCGCTGGATTTTTGGTTGGGCGGCGACGTGGAGTCATCGAAGCCATAGAGCTTGCGGAATAACGTAGGGAAGGTGAGGGAGAAGAAGTGGCGGGATTGATCGGGAGAGTGAGAGTGTAAGAAAGAGTCGACGGAGGCACGGACGGAGGAGAT